ATTAATTTAAACATAGTTGATATTTTTATCCCTTATTTCTATTTTAAAATATTTTTAAACCCTTTTTAATATGTATATATTAAATGCAATATTATTTTGTGATTATTTTCTGACTGATCTTGAGTTGAATTTTTGATCATGAACTTTAGTAACATCATTGAATCCATGATGTTGAGTCTAACTCCATAAAAATGGATGGATGATTTTAATAATAGTTTGATTAAATTTTAATTCAAATGTGGTTTATATATTCTTTCCCATCCATCTTCATCTTGTCCCTTTCTTATTGCACTAAGTGTTATTGAAGCATGATCTCTATATCATGTCTCAAAACAAATGATGCATAGATTGCTATTGACCGACCTCAAAATAGGTGCGACTTTTATATAAGTCCACTTACTATTGCTTAACATAACGCTAAATTTTGTCCCGATTCAAATAAATGATCATTTGTGGCTCAAACCTATGTTTGCAAGCCCAAGTATATTAATTTGATCTCTTTGATCCAATAACCATGAGATTTATTGTGTGGAGGCTTTGGTTCTACCAATCCTCTAATGGATCTACAACACTTTTGGTCAACGCGGATCACTTAGACATCGTTGATTATTAAATAGTACTTCTGAGGATCCCAAATAGATAATATACTTGACAAAAAGAAAATGCAACTTGTTGTGTGGAGGCTTTGGTTCTACCAATCCTCTAATGAGTTCTAAATACAAGTTTCAAGATGGTCATCCAACTAACCACTAATTATTAAATTGTTTTGCTTTATGCTTTTATTTTTATGCTTTATGTACCATTTACTTTAAGCATTACATTTCATGACATTTTTATTTTGCTCACTTGAGCATTTATATTCTTGTTATTTTTATTTTGCTCACTTGAGCTTTTCTTTTCTCTTTTAAGACACCTAATAATAAACATGAACCATAAAAAGCTTTAATGATATTTGGACTATTTGGTTACTATCATTGGCATTATGGAGTATTGGACTTCTTGGACTTAGGATTAGAAACCTTGACCTATGTTGGAGAACTTGTGACCTTAATTGATATTTTGTTCGGAGTTCTTGATGTTTACCTCAAGACATTGGGTTTCTTGTTTGTTTTTGTGTGCAGGTTATTGTGGTTACATTCTTTGTTTATAATCTGGAATTCACCAGTATACAGCCGTTACTCTGTCCAATTTTTGTGAAGACTTAATACACTTGAAGTTTGGTTCTCTCAAGAGGTCTAGTATCTTTGCTTGTTTGGTTTCAATTCAAAGAATGAGAATTCTATCTTGACTCATAATATCAAGTATTAGCTTCTTGTTGGTTAAATGGTTCTTATCTCTAGATTTTACTTTTATGCTTTAGGATAATCTCTTCTTTTCCTCCCATCTTCTTTAATTTTAAAAATCTTCTCCCTCATTTTGAAAACTCTTCTTGTTTTGAAACCTGAACTACTTTCATAATAAACTTGGACCTAGGTCAATGTATTTTCAAAATATTTTCATAAATAAACTTGAACTTCTTGTTTTTAAACCATTTTTGCCACTTTGGATTTCTATTTTAAAACCTTTCTCAAAAGATTAGACTTTTGTCAATCCTTGTAGTGATGCAAACAACTATACTTCTACAATATGTAGTGAAGAGAGATATTTTCTACTTGGGTGTTGAGTGAGACATTGTTGATTTTAAAATCTAAGCCATATCCTCCATTTTGAGATGATGCAAATTCTCATTTCTCATGATTGTGGGTAGTAAGTATATTTTCCACACGGACAATGACGATGATGTTTTATCTCATAAAATCAACCAACATACATGTGTTTTAAATTATTTAAAGAGGAACTACGTGTACCCTGATCCCCTATTTCACGAAAGGTGGTACGTAGGCACTAAAGGTTCGCAACCGCGGCGGGTGCAAAAATCATAAAAATACTTCTTTCCTCACCTCCACCATCTATTTTTTATACAACATTTTATAGCCAAAATATACAGATTTTTCAAAGAGGTTCCTGCGAAGTACCGTAGATGTTTAGGGTGCTACCTTTGCATAACCAACCCCCTTACCTTGAATCTTTCCTCCTCTTTTTGGGTTATTCTCTCTTTTCTCATTCCTTTGGAAACAATAAAGCGCGGTGGTGATTTTTATTTTGATATGTATAAGTCTAGTCAATCTAATGATTTAATCTTAAATATTTCTACCGCTACAGTAGCAATGTTAACACGGATCCTATCATCTTTTATAATGCTACATTTTGGTCTTCAAAATATTTTTAATTACTTGTGTTTTTGTATTTCATCAATAATTTTCAAATGTTGAGAAATAGTTACTGGAGGCTAGATCGGAGATTGAAAATGCACCAATTGTAAATAATGATTCAAATAATTATTTCAATTGTTTTCCTTTCACTGTAGCATGTATCATCAGTAGTTGATGAAAATTGTACATTGTCGATGATAGTCGTAATTTTCATATGTTATGTATATGATATGCTCAGATGTGAAATAACATTAATGATGAGTGTTCAATACTTCCTACCACTTTTCAGTGACAACATTGCCGTAGATTATCTTAGATGCAAGTTTTCATTTGTTGACATGATATTTATTTGTTTAGTTCATTTTTATGCACAATAATTTGTAAATAATCAAGAATGTTAAGATCTAACCAAGGATGAGTGTCACTGAAAATGACCACATAACCATTTTATGTGTCTGAGATTCGAGAATCGACTCAATTTCAACTAATTTGATTTTTAAATTTGTGTCTACGATAATATAATTTATTTTTTAACTTAAATGAAATTAAAATTTCTTTATTTCACGGGTCACTATTAACATAACATCTATTTTAATTTAATCAATCATTATTTTAATTTAAAAGACAAAACTTTCATTTTTAAATATTATTTTTCTCCTGTCATTGTTTTTTTTATGATTATTTTATACACTTAAATCTGTATGATTATTGTTCATTTTAATCCATGCTAGACCATGTTTTGCTATGTTGTTGGACCTTGTCTAATTTTTTACAACATTGGACCTTAATTTGTTATTATGTTGTTGATTTGTATTTAGGCTTTTTACAAATTATTTATTTTTAAGAGTAACCAACTTTTAACAAACAATATATTTCTATTGTTACTTTTCAATTTTTCAATCTATATTCTATAGGCAACCAATCCCTTTCCTGCAGTTTGAGAGTTTTATTTCCATAAACTTGCTCTTTTGGCATAGGTTCTCCAAATTACCTATTGATTTCACTATTATTATATTATAATTAACAAAATTTTGATTATTCAATACTTGATGTCTTTTCAACACAATTACGTACCACACTCATGAGAAGTACAAATGTCAATGACGAACTAGTTTTCACTTTTCACTTCTGGTATATGTATAAGTCACATGAAATATTGTATAGTTACTAGTATTCATCCACTTTGGGGTGACACATTTAGTTTATCATTTGAAAGATGCTTATGAAAGCAAGATAAAAGTTAAAGCTCTCAATATGTTGGAAATAATTGAGTATTAATTCCCTCTCAATGAATGACAACTAATAAGTTAAATTAAAGATCACTATTGACTAGTAATATATAATTTAGTTTGGATTAACTTGTAGTTGTTCTTACATATTTCTTATTGACATATGACATTTTGGTTTCTTATCTTTATCTTTGTATTTTTTTTTAAATAACATGACCAAAGAAAGAATGTCTAATTATTAGATCCAATTTATAGTATTTAGTTTACAAATAAAGAAAACAGAGATCTTGTCAAAAGACGACTCTTCGCATTTTATTTTGGGTTAAACAAAAACAATCTTAAATTGTCTATATATATAAGTCTAAGGATACATCATTTCAAGCATTATCTCACTCTCACTTTTAAATTATATTTCTATGATTTCATTAAATTAGACGTTTGGGTGTTAAATTGACAGGTCCTCCCTACTCCACCACAACCAAAAGCTCTTGCAACCACATCAAAAGAGTTATTTCCTTCGTATTACATATTTCTAATTTCACCTTGTAACAATGGCGTCGTATGTAGGAACGACTACTGATTATCTTGAATTTTTGTGAAAATCAGCGTCTCTTCACTAGTATACGTTCGACATCTGATATCATTTTAAAGTGTGTGGATTGTACTTAAATCTTCCTCACAAAATCAACTTGTAAGATGTATTGAAAAAATCTCTAAGTCTAGATAGAGATTGAAAAAGATTTATATAGAATGTGACCCCAACCTTATAAGTCATTTTTGGTAGGGATGAGTAGACCTAACTCACATACTTTAATATGGTATCAGATTTTATAGTTGGAATGAGTATAATATCTAAATCCTTTAACAAGGATCCATTGGAGGACAAGTATGGTGTCTACAACTGCGGTAATTCTAGCTCCAGTACATATATTTAAGTTGTTGCAGTTAAAAAGTTCATAGTTGAATCTTGGATTTGGTCTATCAACCTATCTCTAATGTGTACTGGTTAACTCATCTCTTCTTCCGACTATGCGTTCCTAACCTTAAATAATCATATCGTGCTTTAACTATTGTTAGTTCAAGAGATTAAAGTGTTCAAAGAAAGCCTACACTTTAATATCATATTAAAGTGGGTTAAATTTAACGCATTGCTACAAAATTGACTTTTAAATTATATCTCTTACCAATTAAAAATCAATCACATAAACAAATAAATAATAAAGAGATCTAAATATAGATAATATTTGATCTATTTATATAATTGTTTATTAATTTGTATTATTTTTATAAGGTCACTAACTTGTAAGGTGTCTAGTAGCAAGAAGTGAATTTAATGAAGAGGGAATCAAAGTGTTTAGCTAAACAAAATCTCATAATTAAAATATGTTGAGTTGTACATATATTATAGATAGATACAAATGGAGCATGAATCTTTATACAAATCAAATAATAATAGTTATAACTATCAATTGAATATGTAATTCTAATTGGAACATTTTTACTCATAACTTCCTAGTCTTTAGTTTTTCCAACTTGAAAATCTTAATAATTGAGTTCCTTTCCATTCCAAAACAAGTTCATTCTCATTCTGTCCTTCAATTCTTGTCTCATATGAACTTCCACTTCCTCTCAAAACTTCTCTTACTTCCATCAAAACATTTTTGCTCAATCTTCCACCTTCCAAGCTAAACTCAACCTCAAAATTACCATCCCTTTTCATCTCTTCCCATGTTTGTAACCAATCAAGAGAAGATATACAAGGTGCAACAAACAACACTTCACATGCAATTCTTGCTTCTGAGAATTTTTCTGAAAATTGAGACTCAATTGATTCCAACAAGGCCTTATAATGCATCAAATTCCCTTCATAAAATGACTTAAAATTCATACTATTTTTTATGTTTTCAAATGCATCACCATCACCAAAAGTAATCATTCCCTTGCTACCATAGTTCATGATCAAATCCTCAGCTACTTTCAAAAACTCAAAAGCACTTTTTCTTCTGCTTCTTACCATTCCCATATGAGGAAGACCAAGCATCAAATTAAAAGCCAAAAACTCTTTCTTCAAACCCCTTTTGTTCATTCTTTTGATCTCACTAACCAACTCTTCCAATTCTTTTTCCTCTACCTTCAATTTCAAACCACATGATTTAGCATAATCATATAGTTCCCTTTTGGTATCCTCAAAATTCCAAACAGATTCAGAACTTTCATCACTCCATTTAATTGATGTCAATTTCAATCTTTTCTTCATTTTTGAAACAGCCTCCAATAAAAAAGGCCATTGAACACCATTTCCAATACAAAAATCTATTATGTGGATCTCATCACAATCTTCTAACATAGCAGCCTCAAGAATAGATGAAATAGCTGCAAAATGAGCAATTTTTCCAATTGGATTACCTTGATAAATTACCTTAAAAGCTTCTTCAAAATTCTTGAGAGCTTCCCCTTTGAGATGATCTTCATGATTTGTCACTTTTTGTGACAAATAAAATGCAAGAGTTTCAAGAGAATCACCAAGTGGAGTGACTTTTTGGCTTATACACTTCAAATTAACTTCTGCTAGTGCTTTTTGTCCTTTCTCCAAAGCCTCTCCATGTGCTTCCATCAAGTGTGGAAGAATCACTTTGTTGTCAATTTCCATGTTTTCTTGTGGAAGAATAAGTGATTGTTGTGTTGAGGAAAAATCTGATTTCATTGATTGTGTTGGACTCCGTTCATCATAGGAAAGATTTTGTGAAGGGAAGCTTGCTTCAGTCTCTTCTTGATATTCATGATCTTGAATATCAACAATTTGGGGACACAAAATTGAATGAAAAGATTCAAATTCCATTAGTGATGGAAGTTCTAAGGTTTCTTGTTCAATTGGAAATTGGATATGATCATTGGTGAATATGGAGATTTCAGAGAGAGTAGTACTATCTGAGGTGCTTAATAGAGTATTGAATTCATAATCATCAACATGGTCATCCATGATGATGTCATATGGATCAAACTTCTCAACATGGTCATCCATGATGATGCCATATGGATCAAACTTCTCAACATGGTCATCCATGATGAAGCCATATGGAATATAGTCATCATCAACATGGTTTACCATGGTGAAGCTATATGGATCAACAACTTGATGATGATGATGATGATGATGATCAAAAGTTGATGAGTTTATGTCTTCATAAACTAATGGCCATGGAGAGTGAAAAATTTCTTGTTGAATCATATTTTTGAAATGAAGTATTTAATATGTGGTTATGTTGACTATTTATAGATGAACAAATGTTGGAGAAACAATGTCAAGACAAAATAGAAACCAAAGGGAGAAGCTTATTACATTTTGGTGTTATTGTTATCTTTATAAGTGTTTGATACATGCAAAATATTCTTGACAGTGAATGGTATTTTAAGAATCTTAAATTCTCTGATGCCTTATCCCTAATTTTTCATGTCTAGTATTTAATATTTTATCTTTAAAATTTTTTGTAATATTTTTAATTTTTGTTATGTTAAATGTTAGTGTTTTGTTTTAAACAATTTTAAATTTGTATTGTATTAAAAAATAATATAGTATTATATTTAAAGTAATATATTTTGTATTATAAATATTATAAAATATTTAATTTTATTTATATTATTTCAAACCAACGATAAGGGTGAGATAAAGCTCTTGATGCTATAATTTGCATTATTGCTTCATTTTATTAAATTTATATTATTTCCCATTATTACCTAATTTGAGGAGAAGAGAGTATTTTGGAATTTTGTAAAGAAAACAGAGGAAAATACAATGAGTTCTCCTCTATGCTCAAAACATCTCCAAGCAAGCATGATTAAGATATACTTCTTTAAAGTCCCATATGAGACATATTTTCAATCAAATTCTGATAAAGTACTCTTCCTCTTCACAAATTGGAAGAATTTCAACACCATCACGCGTTAATCTAAATAGATAGAATGTATTATACTATTATAAGGTATACCTATTCCATAAAACTCATGCATTAAATATTGAATTGCTTAATTAGATTGGAAGTCACATTGAATCTTGGGGATAAGTTTGTTTAAAGAGACAAAACTTTCTTAATGTCTATTTTCATTTATTTATTTATATCATCCAAAATCCTAGTCATAGGATTATTTAGAGAAAGAACATAAAAGTAGAAGAAATGAGGTGGTGTAGATTTAAAGAATTATCTTGTTTTATGAATAATATAGTAAAGGATCCGTGTGTTCGCACGGATCACACACAATCAATATAAATAATAATTAAAAATAATATAATAATAATTAATAAATAGTTTCGATCATAAAAATGTAAATAAATTTATAATGATTATTATATAAATATTAATTTAATCTAGACATGCGGTTGCACTAATAATCTAATGTCGTTATTGAATATATATATATATATATATATAACAATTAACCAAACAGTGGACAATAAACAAACATAAATAGCATACTTTATATAAAAACTAAATAATACCCTATTTCAATGGAAGTTAAATATGGTACAGTAAAACTTCGAGTAAATGCAAAATAAAACACTAAATTGGCCAGACTAAAATAGCTACCAAAATAACAATTGTTCTCTGTATAGAAAATATAGTTTAGTTAATGTCTACAATTCTCAATGCTTATTCTTTAATAGAGTTTTTTGACATTTTCAATTTTAGTATAAATATGCTATCTAGACTATCAATATTGTAACTCATTTATTCTTCTATTTGATATACAATAGTAGTCCTCTTTGTTATCATTCATTGCTCATTCTTCTTCTCCCCTTTCATTACCTTGCACCAACAAATTGGTATGAAGAGCACTTAGTTCTGTTTTCTTAGAAAACACGAGTGTTTGTGAGCTGTGTGTTTGATTTTGGTTCATTGATTTTCTGTTGAAATCTTGAACAAAATTTGAACATAATCTGATTCTGTGGGTTGGGAAACAGTGTGTTTGAAGATCTGAAAAGTCCGTGCAAGGTTTAAAATGAGTGGAGACAGTAGTTTGAACACCAAACTTCCAATTTTTAATGGAAAAAACTGGAACAAATGGATGATACAAATGCATGTGTTGTTTGGTGCGCAAGATGTTTTGGATCTGGTTACAGATGGTTATGTACCAGCTGCAGCTGATGCAACTGAAGAACATAGAACTGCTGAGAGGATGATGAGGAAGAGGGACCAAAAAGCTCTGTTCTATATCCATCAATGTGTGGATGAAAGTATGTTTGAGAAGATTGCTGATTCAACAACGTCAAAAGGGCGTGGGATTTACTGGTGAGATGTTACGGTGGTGACGCATCAGTAAAGAAGGTGAAGCTTCAATCCCTACAAAAGCAATATGAAAACATGAACATGAAGAGCAGTGAGAAAGTTTCTGAATATATCTCCAGAGTGATTCTGATCACTAACGAGATGAAGGCGTGTGGAGAAACTCTGTCTGAACAGGTAATCGTAGAGAAGATTCTGAGGTCGCTTACTCCTCAGTTTGATTACATTGTTGTTTCTATTGAACATTCTAAAGATCTGGAAACCATGAGAATAGAAGAATTGTAAAGCAGCTTAGAAGCACAGGAGTTACGTCTGTCTGAGAGAACTTCTGAGAGGGAGGCTGAGCAAGCTCTGAAGACTTCTTTTGTCAAGAAAAACCAGAAATAGAATAAACATGGTGATAAATTCCAGAAGTCAGAAGCCTCAATTTCTGATGATAAGAAATATCATAAAGGAAGGGAGAGGTATGACAAAAGGAAGGTTCAATGTTACTCTTGTGAACAATTTGGCCATTTTTCCAGAGATTGTAGGTCAAACAAGGAAAGGAAATCAGAAGAAGAATATATGGCTAAGAGAAACTCTGATGATGAACTTGTACTACTAATGGCTTCTAATTCTGATGGAAAATGCTCAGAAGATTGGTGGTATATGAACAATGGTTGTTCAAATCATTTAACTGGAAACAAACAATGGTTGACAGACATTGACTCAAGAAGGAGAACAAAGATCAGATGTGCTGACGATAAGTATCTTAATGCATAAGGTATGAGAGATGTCAGAGTTAGAGTGAAGAATGGGAAAGACATTCTGATCAAAGATGTTTGGTATGTTCCTGGTATTAGAAGCAATTTGATGAGTGTAGGTCAGCTGATTGAGAAAGGTTTCTCAGTTGTTATGAAAAACAATCTTCTGACGTTGTATGATTCCAATAAGAGGTTGATTATGAAGTCTGAACAAGGAGGAAACAAAACATTCAAGGTAAATGTAGAAACAGCTGAAGCAACGTGTCTTAGTACAGAAGGCGCTGAAGGTAACAGTAAGCTGTGGCATAAGAGGTTGGGGCATTTGAACTATAGAAGCTTAAGGCATCTATGTTCTAAGAAGCTTGTACATGGTATTTCGAAGATTGAGAAGCCTGAGAAGTCATGTGAGATATGCATGAAAGGCAAGTAACCTAGATTTCCATTTACATCAGAAGTAGCCCCAAGCGAAGCATGCTCTGGGAGTAGTACATTCTGATGTGTGTGGACCATTTCCAGTACCTTCACTTGGAGGAAACAATTATTTTGTGTCTTTTATGGATGATTTCACAAGAATGACATGGGTAACACTCAACAAGTTCAAGCATGAAGTGTTTACTGAGTTCCAGAAATTCAAAGTGAAGGCTGAGAAGCAGAGTGGTAAGAAGTTAAAAATTCTGAGAACGGGTGGTGGAGGTGAGTATAACTCTACAGTATTTCAGAAGTTCTGTGAGGAGAATGGAATAGAACATGAGGTTACTGCTTCATGTACTCCTCAGCACAACATTCTTGCTGAAAGAAGAAACAAAACTTTTCTTGATATGACCAGAAGCATGTTGAAAGAGAAAAAGCTACCTCACGTGCTATGGGGAGAAGCTATTGCCACATCAGCATATATTCTGAACAGGTGTGCAACGAAGAAACTGAAGTAAGTTATTCCTTTAGAGAAATGGACTGGAGATAAGAAGAGTGTCAGTCATCTGAAGGTGTTTGGATCTGTCTGTTACAAACACGTTCCAGAAGCTAGAAGACAAAAACTGGATGATAGAAGCAAAGTAATGTTGTTGATGGGGTACCACAGTACAGGTGCGTATAAGCTTTATTGTCTAGAAACTTATAAAGTTGAAGTCAGCAGAGACGTTGTGGTGAAAGAGTATGAAGCATGGGATTGGAACAAATCTCAATCAGATTCTGGTGCAGTGCCAACACCAGAGTTATCCTCTAAAGATGTTTTAGAAAGTTCAGAAGATGAATCTGATTCTGAAGATCCTGAAGATTCTGAAGATGAGTCAGAAGAAGATTCTGGCAATGGATCTGATTCTGATCTAGATGCTGATGATGATCCAGAATATGGTGGTGATCATAGTTCTGGAAGGGAAAACTCTGAAGGTGGTAACTCTGAAAGTAGTAGTTCTGGTGCAACTTCAGAACAAGCTCAAAGACCACATAGAATCAGACAAAAACCAAGAAGGTTTGCAGATTTTGACATGCTGTAGGATAATGAAGTTGACTCTGAAGGAGAAGTCGTTCAGTGTGCCATGTTAGTAGATTCTGAACCAGTGGGCATTGAAGAAGCTCTCAAGAAGAAAGAATGTCTTAATGCCATGAAAGAAGAACTTAAGGCAATAGAAAGGAACAAAACTTGGAAATTGACTAAACTTCCAGATAATAAAAAAGCCATCAGCGTCAGATGGGTTTTTAAGTTGAAACTTAAGCCAGATGGTTTAATTGGCAAGCACAAAGCTAGAGTAGTAGCTAGAGGTTTTCTTCAAAAACCTGGGCTAGATTACTTTGAGGTCTTTGCGCCTGTAGCTAGGCATGAAACAATCATACTGGTGATTGCTTTAGCTGCAAATAGAAATTGGCCTTTAATGCATCTGGATATGAAGTCTGCATTTCTGAATGGTCCATTACAGGAAGAAGTTTATGTGTCACAACCTCCTGGATTTGTGAAAAAGAATCAGGAAGGGATGGTATACAGGTTGAATAAAGCTCTGTATAGACTGAAGCAAACGCCTAGAGCTTGGAATCTGAAAATTGATTCGTTTTTCAAGAAGCATAGGTTTCAGAAATGTGAGATGGAATATGGAGTTTATGTACAACACTCTGATAAAAATATGATTCTGGTGTGTCTCTATGTTGATGACATTTTGCTAACAGGTAGATGCCCAGAAGATATAAAGAAGTTCAAAGAAGTTATGATGAATGAG